GTTTTTCTTACGGTATGTTCTGCATACAGATTGAAGAGGTAGGAAAATAAAATGCATCCTTTTCTGACGCCTCTGCCAATCGGAAACGGTTCTGTTTCTCTCTGTATTCTGTTTGTACACGAGCTTCTTGTTCAAAGTACAATCGCGCATCAAAACAAACAGATGTTGTGGCACACCCCTTTGTTTTGTTGTTGTTGTTCAGTTGCACAGTCAAGTCTGACTCTTCGCGACCCGGTGGACCCCATCACACCAGGCCCTCCTGTCTTCCGTTGTGCTCCGGAGTTTGCTCAATTTCATTGCCTTTATAACACTGTCTAACCATCTCATCCTTTGCCATCCCCTTCTTCTTTGTCCTTCAATCTTTCCCAGCATCAGGGTCTTCTCCAGTGAGTGCTCCCTTCTCATTTGGGGGGCAAAGTATTTGAGCTTCAGCTTCAGGATCTGGCCTTCCAGGGAACAATCAGGTTGATTTCTTTAGGATTGACCGATTTGATCTCCTTGCAGTCCAAGGGACTCTCAAGAGTCTTTTCCAGCACCATAATTCAAAAGAATCTATTCTTCAGCATTTGGCCTTCCTTATAGTTGCTCGCAGCCATACAGTACTACTGGGAATACCATTGCTTTGACCATGCGGACTTTTGTTGGCAGGGTGATGTCTCCACTTTTTATTATGCTGTCTAGGTTTGCCATCGCTTTCCTCCCCAGGAGCAGGCGTCTTTTAATTTCATGGCTGCAGTCACAGTTTCTTTTACAACCAACCATAACTTTGTGATCCACACAGTCAAAAGCTTTACTGCATCTTCACTATCAAAAAGCAAAAGGAACAATTAAACAGCAGTTCTGGGACCATACACTGCAATAAGGTAGGGCACAAATAAAGAAATATCCAAGTTATTCTGCAGCATGCCAAACATTTTCGACCAACAGGTTATCTTAGACTCCTTGAGACCTCCAAGTATCAGAGAACCGTTACCCTGGCACACTTTAATGCTCTATCTTCAGCCTTTCTGGAAAGCAGATGCCATTGTGTCCCACTCCCTCAGTGGCTCTGTCCATGTCAGACGGGGAAAGTGCAGTCTATTGAACGGGCTCTGCGGCACGGCCCATTCTGTAATGACATCCAGCATCTGCATATTGCTCCAGTTCTGTCATCTTCATCACGAAGATCTGAACAACTTGGTATCTCTCTCCTTCTTGCAGACTCTTCTCAGGAGATAACCCACAAAGTTGTCAAATGTTGCCTACAGGCGTGTGGGATAGGCAAGCAGCTGATAATTGGTCCAGTAACTTGCCTGTCTGTTGGAGGGTTTAATTTTTGTTGTCCCCATTCTTAATATGTGTTCACTGCTTTCTGTCTGCCACAATGCACACTTTTAATTACTTCCTGATCCGTTGCAGCTGATCGTGAATTGAAATAAAGGCTGTGGTCATGTCACACTAAATAATCCACTTTCAAACTGGATTTTTGCTGTGTGAACTGGCAAAATCCAGTTGGAAAGTGGATTGAAAGTGGATTATTTCAAAACTTCCGGTTGATGGCGGCGCGCTAGCAGACTCACCTCCCGGACCTCCCGGGGGTGAAGCTGCACACCAGCAGAAGGAGGGGGTGCGCAGGATCGTTACCCCCCCCAGAGACCCGGTTGAAGGGTCGCTGGCCATGGGACTCTCGTTTGCCTCTTTGCCGGCGCGATGCCGGGGAATTGAGGCGCCTCTCTGTCCTGAAGGTTCTTCATGCTGTGTGGCCGAATGGAACTAAGTGACGCCGACTGGGGCAAGCGCAGGAGATCGAGCGCAGAAATGGAGCTAAAACAAGGACTGAGGACCAATTATGAACGTGAGTTAATTTAAAGCGTACCGGTTAAATTGAAAAGATAGCTCCCCACCTCATGGAACAGAAAGTGAGGCGAGCGGGGGAGGGACGCCTCCCATGTGCATGAACTTTTAAGCAAATTGGAGGGGGGGAGCAGAAGAGAAAGCAGGGAAAACTGTTAAGAAAGACATACCAAGGCGAGCTTGAGCATATAAGTGCATATTCAGAGACTTTTAAAATATAACAATTCCGAAAGATGGCGGGGAAGAGGACAGAGAAAGAGAAACTTTTAAAAGCTAAAGGAACGGAGAGTCCAAGACCGGAAGGAATCAACGAGGCTGCAAAGACATTAGCGGAATCCATGCGCCCTCTGCTGGATCAGATGAGTAACCTCAGGGAGCAGCTGTCAACAATGAACCAATGCATCACCACTCAGCAAACACAGTTGAATAAGACGCTTAAAATGATGAACCAAACAGCTGAGAAGGTGAAAGAAGTGGACGCCACTGCCCAAAAGGTGAAGAAGAAGGTACAAAAACTGGAAAAGAAGCAAATCTCCACAGAATAACAGTTGCTGCAATTACAAATGGAAAAGGCTAATTTGATTCTTCGCTTCCAGGGCATTCCAGAGACTAAGGGGGGGAATCTAAAGGAAATGATGAGTGACATACTGGCCCCAGTGACAGATATGAAGGTGGAATCTTTGCTGAATGATATGGATGTGGCCTATAGGTCATATTCTGGATATATAAAGAAAAATAATCTGCCTGGGGAAATAGTGATAAGATTCTCGAAGAGGCATGTGAGGGATGTCATCCTGAAAGCGGTATCTGGAACACCCGTGAAAGTTGGAGACAATACTAGCAGGATTTTAAAAGACATTCCATTTGAAATAAGACAAAGGAGGAAGAAATACAAAGACTTAGTTCTTTTTCTTCAGACAAATGCAATTGGATACAGATGGCTAACTCCAGAAGTCGTCACCTTCAAAATCAAGAACAAAAAGGAGAAGATTGACTCTGCGCAGAAAGCACGGGAATTTTTGAGAATCCAGT